GCCGCGCGCCCCGGGCCGCGGGTGGGGCCGGCCCAAAAGCCACAGCTTCGGAGACGTGTGCCCAGGGTGGCCGGGCCTGGCACAGCTGGCACCAGCCACCCCCTGGCTCCTGGCGGGGGCAGCGAGGACGGGCTGGATCCGGGAGGGGCTCCCTGCGTGTCTGCCGAGGGAGGGCGAGGGGGGAGGCCCGGACGTAGGGTCTCGACTTGGAAACGCCCCAGGGATCGGTCCCGGGACGGTGCTGGGGAATTTCCCCCTCTGGTTCCGGCGGCCCCCTTACCTGGCTGGCGGAGAGGAGTGCGGTGCCCAGCGAGAGGCAGGGGTGGTAGGGAATGGTGGCCCCTTTCGGAGGCGACTGAGGAGGGCAGAGCAGAGGAGAAATCAGCGTGTTTGGGGAGACCCACCCCCCGCGCCCGACGTAGCCTCACCCGGTGGGGAGGCCGGCCGCGGTCTGCCCCCAGGGGAGGCGAGAGGCTGGCTGGCTTGTGAGTGGCCTGGTGGGATGAGCCCCTAGGGTTCCACGGCCCCTAGGGCCACCTCGGCCCCGGGCATCCGGGGGGAACGGGGCAGAGAAAAGCCACAAAGCAGGGGGATGCGCCTTTTGAGGGAGCGCTCCACCGGGTGCCGAGCTGGCCCATCTCCCCCAGCCTTGGTGGGCAGGGCCTTAAAACCACCCCGACCGGCTTGGCTCTGAGCCAGCGCTGGCCTGGCAGACCGTAGGCAGGGGGCACCGGGCCGGGTCCCCTGAGCCTGCGCCCTCCTCGGGGGGCAGAGGGGGGAGCAGCGAAGGAAGGGGCCCGAAGCGGGTACCTCCAGGATGACGGCGCAGATCTGCCGCACGCACTGGATGATGGCGCCGGGCACGCCCGAGACCGTGACCGCCCGCTCCGTGGAATTGGGCAGCAGGTCCCCTGCCACCTGCACCTGCGCACCCGTGGTCTGCAGGGAGACACACACCTGGGGCTGAGCGGCTCTCCCCAGCTGCCCCCCTTCCCCGGGACCTGCCAGGCCTGCCCCCCTCGGCACCCCCGCTGGCATCTGGAACGCAGCCAGCTGGCACGGCCACCAGAGACGCTGTCCGAACTGCACCTGCTCCGCTGCTGGGCCGTTCCTGGGCTCCCCCCAGCAGCCCAGCCGGGTTCCTTGGGGCTGAGGTGCCGGCAGGGTAAGTCCCTGTCTCCCGCAGTAGCACCCCGCCGGGGCTGGGCTGTCCCCCTGCCCTGTGAGCGGAGCCATCGGGAAATCACAGGCGCCAGGCGCGTTTCCCCCGTCTAGGGACTGGCGGGTGCCTGGGCTGCCCCACAAATGGGTCTGCCACAGCGCCAGCAGCAAGCGAGCGGGCCGGGAATTGAACCGGGACCGTGAGAGGCCGGACTAATCCACAAGGGACGGGCTACCCTGAAGAGAGTCCGGTCCTGGGAAGCTCGAACTAGTTACCTGGAGGGGCAGCCTCCTGCTGCTCCCCCGGCCTGCCCTCCTTTGGGCTTTCTCTTCAAAGGCCACGGCACGGGGGCTCCTCCCCAGACCCTGCTGCACTGGGGCAGGAGAACCAGGAAGTGAAACTGACCAGCCCTGCGACCCTCCCTCCAGAGGGGAACTGGGCAGGAAGGAAACAAGCAGCCCCGCGGGGAGAAGCAACCCGGGTTTGCAAGCGACCCCCCGGGGCCTCACCTCCCGGATCTCCTTGATTTTGGCACCAGCTTTGCCAATGAGAGATCCGCACTGGCTGGCCGGGATGACCAGCCGCAGCGTCACGGGCGGTTTGGACACAGCGCCTCCGTCGGTGGCTCCCGGCCCCAGGTCCTGGGGAGAGAGGAACGTCACTGGCATGGAGCCCCCCTCACCCGCCTGGGGCCCAAGGCCAGGGCAGGGGGCTGCCCGCAGGGCCTGAGCCAGGGTGTCAGGATGGATGTGGATGAATATTGGCCCAGGCGAATGGCTGGCTCTGGACACATCGGTCCAGCACAATCACAGATCCCCGAGGGACCAAAATCGGGCCCCTCTGGAGAGCAGAGATGCTGCAGGCGGAGGAGGAGCTGTGGGCATCCCCGGACCCCCCCCCCCCCACGCACATCGCCCTCCATCCGCAGCGGGCTGGCACGGTGCAGGGTGAGTACAGGGGCGGGGGACCGTACCTCCTCCAGTTTGAAGGCGATCATGGAGACGGCTCTGAAGACGGCGTCTGTGGACCCCGTGATGGTGGTGATCCGCTCGGGACAGGAGCCCTCGGAGATGGTGATCCGGGCGCTGCTCTGCAAAAGCAAAGCGGAGCGCCGGGTGAGAACTCGTCCGACGGCTGCCCAGCCCGGCTCCGGCTCAGCCAGCCTCCCGTCTCTGGCGTCCTTGCTGGGGGCGAGGGGTGTGCCGTGGGCTGAACACAGTGACCCGGGTAAGGGCTGTCCCGTGAGCTCTGCGTTATCCTCCAGTCCTGCCTGTTACTCATGCAGCAGATCTTTGCAGGGCGCCGTTCAGGGCGCCGCAAGGGGGCCGGCGCGCCTGGCGTTGCCATGATACCAACAATGCGTTCATTGTAATAACGGGAGCCTATTGCAGACCGACGTAGGTTACTTTGCATTTGCGGAGCGATCAGGGTTGGCTAGCGGGGCCCGTGCCCGGCCCTCAGGCTCCCCAGTCGTGTCCAGTTTGAACCGAAGTAACTTGGTGCAAACCTTTGCTCCGCAAGGGGGCCGGCGCGCCTGGCGTTGCCATGATACCAACAATGCGTTCATTGTAATAACGGGAGCCTATTGCAGACCGACGTAGGTTACTTTGCATTTGCGGAGCGATCAGGGTTGGCTAGCGGGGCCCGTGCCCGGCCCTCAGGCTCCCCAGTCGTGTCCAGTTTGAACCGAAGTAACTTGGTGCAAACCTTTGCTCCCCTCTTCCTGCTTTTCCCTCTCATTGATAAATCTAATCAACAGCACGGGTCTAGGAATGAACCAGGGAGCCCCCTGCGGCTAACGTCTTGTCCCGGGTGAGCTTTGGCCGGTTTCTCGCCTTCGGACTGTGCTAGGACGTCTCTCCCCCACCAAGCCCTGTTTGTTTCTGGGAGGGAGTGGTAGGGCAGGCCTCCCCCCGCCCCACTTTACCTGTAGCCAATGACAGGCCTGGAGGAAGGTTAAAAGGAAGGGGCCTAGCTCAGTTAGGGGCTGAGTAGTGAGGGGACAGGAGCTGGTTCTGTTCTGTGCAGGACCTGAGCCAGAATCTGTCTACTGGGCCAGCTGCTGGGGCAGATAAGTTTCCAACCCCACATTTGAGGCAAATGAGGGGGAATCTCCTGGGGACCCTTGCAAGGAAGGGAAATTAGGACTCTTGGGACCATGCCCCAAATTTAAGGCTAGACCCAAATAAAAGGCCTGAGTTCCCAGGCCTGGGGCTACAGCGGCAAAGGGCTGCACCCTCCCCGCCCCCCCTGATAAATTAGGGGCCTAACTACTAGGCCAGCCTGCTGCCAGGGAGACCTGGTCACAGTTTCCTTAAGAGCCTCTTTGGAGGATGTTTGACAGTCCAAAGAGATCGGCGGTTCGCCTTTATCCACGTGACCTGCTCAAACACTCCTGGGAAATGCAAGAGTGGTAAGTACCGCCCGTGTGGCATGATCCCGTGAGTGCTGTACAATTGCATTTTCTCCGCTGTGCCTGGCTCCAAAGCAAAGCTCCTTGCTCCAGGATCCCCAGCAGGATCTTTACCTGTTCATTAATCAACTAGTTTGATTGGCGGGGGGGTGCTGGCTCACCTGCTGCACCTGTCCCTTTGAAATGTACAAGAGCCCTGCTCCCTCTGCACTGGTTCCTGCTTCCCCCCCCGCTCCCCCTTACTGCCTCTGTCTGATAGAGGCAGCCAGTGGGGGGGGCGGCTGGTCAAGTGATTACTCGACTATCCAATAACCTTATCGGGTAGTCGCCGTGTTGATTACATCCCTACTCTGGAACAGTCGACTTGAACTAAAAACAGGCCTATTTTTGCTAGCCACTCAGCATCTTCTTCCTCAGATCCCATCCAAGCCGTCTGGGCCTCGCTGCTCTTTTCGGTATCCGTCCAACCCGGCACCGATTCTTCACACGCCTCGGTCTCTGCTGGAGCCTTATCGGTCTCGCCAGAAGAGAGTCGGGCCTGGGAAGGCATTTCCTCACCCTCCTTTGGGATGCGAAGAAATGGCTTCGCTTCTCTGCGTCGTCTTATCCTTCGTTGCTCCCTTTGAGCCCGGCGGTCCAGCCACCCACCTGGGGCTTTTTTGCCGGCATCCTTCTTCTGAGACTTCAGACTTTTCTGGTTATTTGTTGCTAAGCTTGTGGCTCTTTGCTCTTCCCTCTGAGTTCCTTTCTTTTAATCTTCCTAACTTGGCAAGGCACCCCAGGGCCAGCATAGGTCAAGGTGTTGCAGGTCAGCTACTAGTGGAGAATTTGGTGATGTGGAGTCTGGGTATCCGCTAAATGCAATTTGCTTTATTTACACCGGTCCTGGAACGGGGTGGTCAGAAAGCATGCAGGGAAATCCCTCCTTCCTAGAATTTCATCCCCACTCCCATGCCTGGTTCCCAGGGAGCAACTCTGGAGACAATTCTCAAGGCAGTCAGAGCCCCCGACAGAGAACAGACTCTTTTGCCGCTCGTCCAGTGTCCTGTCTCCCAAAGTTGCCTGCACACACCGCCGTTCAAACCCCCAAACTGGCAGAACGCCAGCGAGTCTCCCACAACTCAAAACTTGCTCGCGCGTGGAGGCGGAGAACTTGGCTGGCTCTGCACAATGGCGCCACCTGGTGGCACATTCCTTAACAATACACTTGAAGCTCCACCCCTCACTTCCCCAGAGTCACCAGGGCAGGATGCTCTGGGGCTGGGCAGCAGGCTCCTGTGTGAGGTGGGTAGGTGGAGGGGAAAGCACCTTCCAGTCCCCCGTCTAGCTGATTAACCTGGGCTAAGGCAGAACTTGGCTGGCTCTGCACAATGGCGCCACCTGGTGGCACATTCCTTAACAATACACTTGAAGCTCCACCCCTCACTTCCCCAGAGTCACCAGGGCAGGATGCTCTGGGGCTGGGCAGCAGGCTCCTGTGTGAGGTGGGTAGGTGGAGGGGAAAGCACCTTCCAGTCCCCCGTCTAGCTGATTAACCTGGGCTAAGGCCCCGTGGGGCTGGCCAGGTGTATGGGCCAGTGTGGGGTGGGGGTTGCATGAGGAGGAGGGAGCGCGGGAGGCGCTGCCCTCCCCCCCCCACG